TTATATGAGTGTTTTTAGCTTTTCTTTTGTATTGTACTACATTTTTAAAAAAAACATCCTACATTCTATGGTGTCTTGTCCTCCTTTACAGTTATGACATCTGGTCATCCTGACCATCCATAGCTTGAAAATATTCAAATAAAGTATAAATTCCAAAAAGCAAACCTTGATTTTGCCATTTTACATAAGGGACACCATTTCACTGTGCCATTGTAAATAACAGGGCATGAGCATCCATAGATTTTTGGTATCAGGGTCCCTGAAACCCAGCAGATACCAAGGGCCCACTGTACCTTTCTCTGCCAAGGCTTCATTCTGCCCAGGAGTGGGGCAAGAACCTTCCTCCTTTGGGAAGTGAAATTCCACAGGCCTGGCTTCCATCAGGTCTATAGTTCCCATCATTCCCATTCAAACATATCCAGTGGTAAGGAATTATGGGAGTTCCAATCCAAAACTTCTGAAGGGCCACATGTTCCCCTTAATGCCATAGAACTCCCATCCAATTATGCTGCTCCAGATCATTCTCCTTTCAGCATTCTCAAGCCATGCAGCATGACTGGAGACTCTGACACTCAGAATATTGCAGCAGTTATTCCCAGAACTTGGTACTTTCCAAAAGGGATTTTTCCTGTTACTCATTAATAGAATGACAAGTTGCTCTGGGCTAAGGTAGAGAATCATGCTGCCCTCCAGATGTTGTTGGACTGCAAATCCTAACATTCATCACCATTAGCTATGTAGACTGTGCCTGCTGGGAGCTGCAGTACAAGAACAATTGGAAAGTTGCTGGCCTATGGACTATAAGACAAGCAGGAATCCATACATTAACAGACTGAAGCTCCTGGTATTCCTTGCCATTGTCTATGCTGGCCAATGCACTGCTGAGACTTCAGAAACACCACCGTGTTATTCTGGAATATCAGTACACAAAAGGATCTTGTAGCACCTTTAAGAATGACTGAGTGAAAGACATTGTAAGGTTGGAAAGAGAAATAGCTGAATTAGAATATATACACAAACTCCAGTCCACCAACATTGGATTGAACAGAGACAATGGCTTCCTGGTAGAATTCAAAGCTGTATTACGTCTGTAAAATCAGTACGTAAAGAGATCTTGTGGCACCTTTCAGACTAACTGAAAGAAAGAAGTTGGCAGCATGAGTTTTCATAGACGAAAGCTCATGCTGCCAACTATGAAAGCTCATGCTGCCAACTTCTTTCTTTCAGTTAGTTTCAAAGGTACCACAAGATCTCTTTACATAACAACTTCCTGCTCCACTACACATATTATAAAACTGGTTAACACCCCAGCCTTACAAGTTTATCATATCTCCTTTCTGGTTCCCAGCCTGCATACACCATATTCCAAAATCCTCCCCATTATTAATATGGTTACCCAGCCACCCTGGCCTTGGACAATATCTTTCTTCCTGCCTTTGTCCCTCAACACCCATAGTTAAAACTGAATTTGTCATATCATCACTATACCCACATGGTTTGCATTTCTATGGCTATCCATACTGTCCAATTATAAACATCCTTCCTGGGCACCAGTTCACCCCATACACCTGAGGAAGCAAACCAAATCTATGAAAAGCTTATGGTAAACTTCTTTTGTTTGGTTAATCTCAAAGGTACTACAAGATCCCTTTTCATTGCTGAGATTTGTAATCCAATTGCATTCTAGAGAAACACATGATTCTCACCCCTGCACAACAAAATGGGCTGTTGTTTTCTGCTCTTTGCTGTGTAGAAAGTCATCAGACAATTAACTGGCAAGGTCCTGCAATGCTCTGAGTAACACAAGAGCTTTGTTTGCTAGTTTAAAAAAAAGCAGAAGAGAACATTCACATCCCAACCTCCTTACACTTAATGTTAGTGCTAAGAAGTAATAAGGACTTGGAGTAATCAAAAAGTAATGGATTGGGTATTCATTGCTATAGCTTTTAAAATTAACAGCCTTGTGAACAGGGATTCTTTCTGCATGAACTTGCAGATCAGAGTGTGAGACAGTATGTTGTAGTGGTTTAAATGTTGGACTATGTCTTTGGGAGACCAGGATCTGAATTCCTGCTCAACCATGGAAACCCACTAGGTGACCTTGGGCATTGCACACTTTCTCAGCCTAAGAGGAAGGCAATGACAAACCTCTTCTAGGTAAGGTTTTGTCAAGAAAAGCCCCAGATAGGGTTGCCCTATGTCAGAGTTGACTTGAAGGCATAAGCTCTGGACAAGCTGTCCATCACCTACACATTGGAGCTTATCACATGAGTTTTGAAATCAGCAGCAGCCCAAGAGAGTGCAGCCCGGACCTGAAATGGAAGATGGAATTATCGTATTGTAATTTGCTACCAAATCCACTGGGCAACTGCAGCCCTGGTCCCAGCTGGCCCTTTTTTGAAAACAAAAGCTCCGGACTCTGGATGTGGAGAAACTGGAGTGTGTCCAAAGGAGGGCAACTAAAATGGTGAAGGGTCTGGAAACCATGCCCTACGAGGAATGACTTAGGGAACTGGGTATGTTTAGCCTGGAGAAGAGATGGTTAAGAGGTGATATGATAGCCTTGTTTAAATATTTAAAGGGATGTCATATTGAGGAGGGAATAAGCTTGTTTTCTGCCGCCCCAGAAACTAGGACCCGGAACAATAATAATAATAATAATAATAATAATTTTTATTTAATACCCCACCCCTCTGAGAGCAACCGGGGCGGGGTATTAAATAATACCCTGCCCCACTTTTCCTGGGTGCAAGCTCCAGGAAAAGAGATTCCATCTCAACATTAGGAGGAACTTCCTAACAGTAAGGGCTGTTCGACATTGGAACACACTCCCTCGGAGAGTAGTGGAGTCTCCTTCCTTGGAGGTCTTTAAGCAGAGGCTGGTTGGCCATCTGTCAGGGATGCTTTGATTGGGAGTTCCTGCATGGCAGGGGGTTGGACTGGATGGCCCTTGTGGTCTCTTCCAACTCTATGATTCTATGAAAACTGGCCAGCTGAGTGCAGCGGGGACCCAGGCTGAGTCACCTGGATTCAGCAGTGAATTACAATGCGATAATTCCCACCTCCATTCCAGGTCCCGGCTGCATCCTGTTGGGCTGCTGCCATTAAAAAGCTCACGCGATAAACTCCGTTGTGAGATCTGGAATCATTTTCAAAAGCAACAGGACAGTACTTGCAGAAGGACATGTTGGCTGAGAATGACAGGGATTATAGTCTACTCTAGACCATCTGCAGTGACACTAGATTGCAAAGGCTGCTTCAGAGGAAACAACAACCAGCAGTTCCCATAAAAGCTACAGACACTTGTAAGAGCAACCCAATATCACATTGGAGCATATGCTTTGCAGATTGAAGGCCTCCGGTTCAATCCCCAGTACCTCCAAGCAGGACTGGAAAATACTCTCAGAGCAGGTGTGGGAATCAGAAAAGACTTCCAGCTGTAATTCTAGCCAGCATAGAAAATGTGCAGTCCAAGCACATCTTGAAGGCTGGATGAATGCCATTTGTGGCCCTGAGCTCCAGTTTGGGAAGGGGCAAGCAAAATATAAAGTTACTTCTGCTCCCACTGCAAAATTAATGCAGTTTGACACCATTTTAACTGTCATGGTTCCACCCTACAGAATCTTGGGATTTGTAGTCTGTTGTAGCACCAGGGGTGTCTCACAGAGAAGGCTAAATATCTCACAAAACTAAAAATCCCAGCATTTCATAGCATTGAACCATGGCTGTTAAAGCAGTGTCAAACTGCATTAATTCCACATGCAGAAGCAGCCCTTGTCTTCCAACTGCAATTCCTATCAGCTCTGGCTAAAATAGCCATTGGTGAAGGATGCTGGGAGGTGGTGCTGGGATGGTGCTATAGCTCAGTAGTGAGCACACATTTTGCATGTTTAAAGGCTCCACATTCAAGTCCTTTATTTTATTTATTTATTTATTTTAATAAGCGAGAAGAATCAGGTAGCAGGAGGTTTGAAAGGCTTTTCTCTACTCAAAACCCTGGGAAACTGCTGCCAGGCAAAGTAAACACCACCAGGTTAAATAATCTGATTGTGCAGCTTCCTGCTTTCACCAAAATAAACACCATTCTCCTCAGTCTTTTTAAAAAGTAAATTTTTGCTTGAAGATTTTTCTCCCCCAAGTCTCTTGCCTAGCTAATTTTGAATGGGAAAGAACACTTTAGTGATGATTAACACTGTCAGAGAAGAAATCTGTTGTCTCATTTGGTTCTTGTGATGAGCTCAAAATCTCCAGACAACAGCAACGTTCAAAGGCATAGGGGGAGGCAACAGATGAGAGAGAAGGTATCTTAGAAAATAAAGGTGTGGGGATAGAAGCTTTGTAACAGAACAGAAAATAGAAAGAGGCACATCTGGGTTTATTTTAATGAACCATTATTTTTGAAATACTCCAGGTATAAGGAGAACGAGGTACGTCCTCCATCCTGTGATACAGAAGAGCACTGAGTCCCTTTTGATATGCTCCTCATAGCAATGACGTCTAGATATATTCTGTGCAATCATTGTCTATATAGCAAGTCTACCCAGATCTTTACTGTGGTTTTTGATCTCTCTTCCTTCCCGCTAACATCACCAAAATCTTGTGTCTTAGGCCTACTTTAGCCATGGTGTGTAAGGAGTCAGGATTGCCAAATTATGCTGTCAGAGAGGATGGCTATGCCATTAATACTACATTTCCAAACTCATGAGATGGATGTATACTCTCAACCTCCCTACAGTATTATGATGGCATACTCTCCAACAGGTCACAGATAGAAATCAGGACAAGCATGGCCAAGCAAAATACCAATGCAGTCAAAAAGTTAATATGAGGGGGGAAAGTTAATATGAGGAAGAACACACCAACTAGGAAATACTGCAGCAGTTTGCTTTGACCATAAGGAAGGTCAAATTTCCATCCTCTCTTATATCTGATGAGGTAACTAAGCACAGAGTACTTTTGCATTTTGAATTCAGTTTCCAGCAATTGAAGTAAGATTGTGAGCCTGCATGGTGTAGTGGTCTGAACATTAGACTATGACTCTGGAGACAAAGATTTGAATCCTGGCTCAGCCATGGAAACCCACTGGGTGATCTTTGGCAAACCACACACTCTCAGGAGATTATTGCATTGCCCTTTTCCATCCTTCCCTCATGACCTCAGTGTGGGATTAAAACTTTTAAGCACTGATTTTATCACATGCCTCCATGCCCAGGTCGGAGGCATCCTGTACCCAATCATGGCATTCCCTACCTTTTCTGGACAGTTCCGTTCTTTCATAAAGTGCCAGAGAAGTCTGGATCATGTACGGGATGCCATGATGGGGTACAGGATGCCTCCAACCTGGGCATGGAGAAAAATCCATGCTTAAAAGTTTTAATCCCACACTGAGGTTGGGAGGAAAGGATGGAAAAGGGCAGTGTGATAATCTCCTCAGCTTCAGAGGATGGCAGTGGCAACCCCCCTCTGAAGAAACTTTCCAAAAAAATCCTGTGATAGGATTGCCTTAGGGTCACTATTAAGTTGGAAATGACTTGAAGGCACAGAACAACAACTACAACAATGAGGACAAAGAGGAAAAATGGAAGGAGGAGAGAGAAACTGGGATATTTTTAAAAGAGCTGGAAATGTGAAATGATGGAGGCTTAATTAGGATTGTCCATGCCAAACTGGGACAGTTTGAGGATATGTGATTATAGGCATCTATGTACATCTGGCTGACATTCTTCCCATGCCATATTTAGTGGATCCAAACCTCAAGAACCAAGACAGCATGGTAGTGATAAAAGTACTACAGCTTTATTTTGGATTCTTCGGACAGAGATGTGCCACAAACGTGTTAGTGTGAAATCTGATTTCCCCCAGAACAATTCACCCTTTAAGATTTTCCCCTCCAACCCCTCCTTCCCCAACCCACTTTTGGTGTGCTTTGAAGCACATCAAAGAGCTCTCACCCATATCAATTTATCTAACCCAGGAAGGAAGGTGTTGTCTTGTTGGTCACCAAAGTCTTGTCCTAGGAAGTAAACAGAGTCATAAAACTACAACCTCCTCTGCTATTGCCCATCTGTCTCCCAGTTTGCATTTTATTCGAATTACAGCCCCTTTTTGATTCTCCTTTTATTTCTCTGTATCGCTATTTCACAATATCATTTATCCTAATTCTCTCATATCCTTAATCATGACAGGTCCATACACTTCTGTATCTGACATCGTGTGACATTTTCCGTATTGCAGCACCTTTGTAGTTTCTCTGTTGCAGAATCTTTGGGGTGACATGACTCATACCCTCCAACATTTCCCAGAGGAAAATTGGAACATGGGTGCACAGTTCTGTGGGTGCTGTAATTCAAAGGGGAACTCTTCAAGGAAAGCTTCTCTTTAGTGGAAGACTCACCCTGGTTTTTACATGTTGTATTTATTCCTTTTGCTTACCCCAAAAAGCAAATTGGAGTCAAACAGCACGGGATGTCCTACTCCAGAGCTAGGAGAGACCCCAGCCAATTGCTTTTGCCTGAGCCTACTGGGAAGGGTGAGATTCTTCTCTTCTCCTTTTCCAACACAGAGTTAATTGAGTGCAAACTGTTTGCATACTTTGAATTCAGCTTATGATGAAGAGGGAAATTATGAGGAAGAGAGAAAAACTGGGACATTTTAAAAGCATTTCAGAAAGTGGAATAAGAAAAAAATAAACTAGGGCTGTTCTGCCAAACCGGGACAGAGAATTTCTCTAAAGATGCCAGCGACAGATTCTGGCGAAATGTCAGAAAGAAACTCTTCTAGAACATGGCCACACAGCCCGAAAAACCCATAAAAATTATGGATGCTGGCCATGAAAACCTTTGACTTCACACAGGACAGAGGATGTTGACAGATAGAGTAAGCATGGAAAAAGTGTGGGTTGGAGGCTGCAACTCCCTTGATATTGAGTATGGCTCAAGTCCTCCTTGAGTGCCTTTGTCACCCTTATCCTGGAAAATTTCACCCCAAAATTGCAAAATGCATACCAGAAAACACAACAAGCCCAGTTTGCCTGTCACATGATGCTTTATGAATCTGAGTTAGTTCTGGGTTTAAAAAATGCTCAAGAGGGTTAAAACAGGTGAATTACAGATGAGGTTACCTTTACATTTCAAATTACCCACCTCTAGTTACTAAGGGCATGATTTGTGTTGAATTTTTTAAAAACGTGAATTTGAGTGAGTTGGAAGGGGTGTAGCCTATCAAGGTCTGGGATCTGGGCAAATCTGACCCTCAATCCTTCCAAAGCTGTCCACCCCATTGTGACTGAAGAAGAAAAAAACCCACATACTTTTAAATCTATCTCCTTTCTTCACTCCATGACTTTATCTGAAATTCTTCATGGCATTTTACTTTGTTCTCAGATGCAAATCATCATCACCATGCTGTACTTCAATGTTTGTCTACTCAGAAATAAATCACATTAAGTTTAATGGGGCATACTTCCAGCTAACGGGTACAAAATTGTATTACAGCACACACCTGTGTCTTTCTACTCCTAATCCTACTGAACTTAATGAAGCTTATTCCCAGGTAAATGCATTTCTGATTTATAGTCTGAACCTCTGGATCACAGATCAGAGGGCCACAGTAGAAGAGAGAGCTGTCATAATGAAAGGTGGAGAGGGCTCATGTGCCATTAATGGTTGTGTAGTAGAGAGAATTTCAGCAGGTGTTGCTTGTCACCCAACCAGGCAGCCAATAACACCTGCTGAAATGTCCTCTTCTACATAACCATTAAAAGTAAAGGAGCCTTCTCCAGTCTTCATTCTTCAGTCTCTTTCCCCAACTCTGAAGCAGGATAGGTTGAGTGTTGTGGTTTATTACTAAGCTGGAGGTAAGCCTTTATTGCATACT